ATATTCAGAAACATTGAAATATGACCAAGCTCTAGTTTCATTGATAGAACAGATCTACCAATGACTATACGGGAATTGTGGCCAGACAGTTCTATAATTCTATGTGGTAAAGAAAATGTCCGGATGCAAGGATTTTGTTTTGAGGCCTGTAGTATTAGTTTAATTTGTAAGGCTGATTCAACGTGCTTCCTTCGAAGTTGGAAATTCCAAACTCAAATTGACCAATGTTATCATTGTTGAAATTCGACTGATCAATTTATTATTTTGATGTAGATAGTTGAAAATTTTAGAAAGGTCTAAGTGTGACAATATAATCCAAGTATTTTAAATAGGAAAAGATTTACATGGTTGTTAATAGCCGATTTTATGTAAATGAGCTTTGACAATCTGAATTTATGTGTAAGAAAAGTTCTAGAAATGTAGCATAAGATACTGCCTGCTATACTAGTATTAATTTCTAGTGTACTGTACATATTCATGTCTGATATACTGTAGGTTATCTATTATATCTATATGTTAAGCCAGTATAATTTAATACTTATATTACATTTAAATGAAGATGTAGCAATTGGTTTAATTTGTTATTTGCTGATGCTTTTTTTATATATTTTTTTTTCGGCCAGTGGGATCGGGAACACGCATTATAGATAACCTATATCATAAGTATAACAACTAAAAGACATAATTATCACGCCTGATATAGGTTATCTGTAATACTAGTATATATATGATAAGCCAGTATAATTTAATACTTGTATTAGATTCACCAAAGATGGAGCAATTGGTTTGATTTTTTATTTGCTGATGCTTATTTTAGATCTTTTTCGGCCAGTGGGAACGCAGTACATACAAGTCAATATTTATGTTATATTTGTGTTAAGATATAGCATTTGGTTTTATTTGCAATTTGATGATGCTTATTTTACATCTTTTTCGGCCAGTGGGGTCAGGAACACATACATGTATATGATTATAAGAACGTAAGAAATAATTATGAACTTGGTACATTATCACGTCTGACATAGGTTATCAATAATATCTATATAATGAGCCAGTAGAAGTCATTTTTATGTTACATTTGAATTAAGATATGGCAATTGGTTATATTCGCCATTTGCTGATGCTTATTCTATATCTTTTTAGGCCAGTGGGAACGCAGTACATACAAGTCAATATTTATGTCACAATTGTGTTAGTTTTGAAGCATTTGGTTTTATTTGCAATTTGATGATGTTTATAATTTTACACATCATTGTCAGCCAGTGGTAAATATGCAATGAGGAAAATAGATATATATATATATACAAGTATATACGGGCATTTATATTTGTAAGGAAGGTACGTTACGTACTAGTAGGACAATTTATTATCATTTTGTTTTGACGTTATTGCCTTTTTGTGAACTTTTTTGTACAGATCAGGAGGGGTTGCAAACTAAATGGGAAAAAAGGATCTAAATGGGTCTAAGGAAAAAACAATAGAAAAAAGGTTGACAAAAAAGTGGGAAACTAAAGTGCTGAAAGTGTTGACACGACAAAATACACCAACATTTTATGCTCCCTCCTATGCTGTTACGTATTTGACAATATCAAAATCTACTCTGTATAATGTAGTATTTTAGATGAAGAAAAGGGCTATTTTTTGCACAGTGTATGGGGACCAAGCAATGGAAAGAAGGATGCTAAGATAATCAATTGAATTCTAGGGGAATTTCTAGAATATTATTTTGTTTTGAAGCATGATTGTACAAAGTTTTTAGATATGTCATTGGAAGAAAATGCTGCTGTATATACGGAAAACTATACATAGTCGGAATAAAAGATAATTTCAACTCGCCATACAACAAATATTGTTTATTACATAGACAATTAAGAGTACAAAATCTTTGTCGTAAAATTAATTCAATTACACCAGACGTATGAAGCAGAACAGGACCTCAAAAAATGATAAAAAAATAGGTCAATGAAAGACAGAAGAACGCATCAAACAGTTTCGAAAAGAAACCTAGTTTGTAAGGCTAAAACTGTAAAATAATAAAAATGATAAAAAATAATAAAGAAAAATAATAAAAAATATAAAATAATTAAAAAATAATTAAAAAATAATAATAAAAAATAATTAAAAAAAAGAAAAATAATACTGGAGATGCGGGGTATCGATCCCCGTACCTCTCGCATGCTAAGCGAGCGCTCTACCATCTGAGCTACATCCCCTGCTCATGCCTTAGTGCCTAAACTTAGCCCCATTTTTTGTGTAATGAATTGCCCAGTGTTGCCACAATAGAACTGACACATTTTGGTTGTATCTCATTCGTTGACGACTTACCCTTGGAATTAATGAATGAATGGTTTATTCAAAATAAGCATCTCTTTCACAGCCTATTGGCTGAATTGCAGGTTTATTATATCAAAAGTAACATTCATTTCTCAATAATTTTTCTCAATATTTCAAACGGATTAATATTTCATGTATCCGTTTCAAATGATTAAAAAAAGATAAAATCTTAATATATAATGCACCTAAGTATACTTCGCAAACAGTATCTAGATCTGTACGACTTACAGGGTCTAACTTCTTGTTCTTCATCACAAAAGTCACAAAAATATTTTTCTTTGTTCAAGTTTTCTAAAGGCTTAACTTGTGTTGAATACAATATTGCTATTCATTCGTTTAATAGACAGGTTAGATATGGTACGTACGGTAGAGTTTTTGTATGTTTGTCCTGCATTTCACAGTTCTCAGCTTGTCAGCATTTCTTGTGTTCCTGCCATCTTCCTCACTTCCTCTCGGTGTAGCCTCCTTCGCAGTCTTGTTGGGCGTCAGCGTTATTTTTTCTCTGAGCGACGCGAGTAATATGCGGCCGCGAGGGACGATTTGCTGCCGAGGGAGTTTTTTGCCACGGAGAGAAGGTTTCGCGTTGGAGCGTCCCTCGCGGCCG